GGCAGCGCTACGCTGGCTAGCACTACAGAACAAAGAGACTTGGGGGTCATCACTGACCACAAGATGAACATAAGCCTGCAATGCGATGCTGCGGCTAGTGAAGCGACAAAAACACTGGCTTGCATCCATAGATGCTTCTCAAGCAAATCCCGGGACGTCATTCTCCCCTTGTACTCAGCCTTGGTGAGGCTGCAGCTGGAGTACTGCATCCAGTTTTGGGTTCCACAATTCAAAAAGGACGTGGAGAAGCTTGAGAGAGTCCAGAGAAGAGCCACGCGCATGATCAGAGGTCAGAAAAACAGACCTTATGACGACAGGCTGAGAGCCGTGGGGCTCTTTAGCCTGGAAAAACGCAGGCTCAGGAGTGATCTGATGGCCACCTCTAAGTTTATCAGGGGTGACCACCAGGATCTGGGGGAACTTCTGTTCACCAGAGCACCCCGAGGGATGACGAGGTCGAATGGTTATAAACTACTGTGAGACCGTTTCAGGCTGGACATAAGGAAGAATTTCTTTACTGTTCCAGTCCCCAAAGTCTGAAACAGTCTGCCATCAGAGGTGGTTCAAGCACCTACACTGAACACCTTCAAGGGCAAATTGGATGCTCATCTTGCTGGGATCCTATGACCCCAGCTGACTTCCTGCCCTTTGGGCGGGGGGCTGGACTCGATGATCTTCCGAGGTCCCTTCCAGCCCTAATATCTATGAAATAATCTGGGAGAATTCTCCCAGGTTTGTTCACCTGGCAGAAAAATCTTACCCAGATATTCAAATGCTGAAGCCCCGAAGAGCGAAGAGCTTGCTGTACTTTTACTGTGCAGCTGTGGGGAATGGGGGCATGCATGCAACTCTGCATGCTGTCACCTCCCTTAGTTTGCCTAGCAACAAATGGCATAGGGTAGTCAGATTGACTGACCCAGACTGCCTATAAAATCAGCCTGCATTTCCCTGCAGCACAACACGAGGATTGGGAAAGAGGCACATTTTGTCTCCAACTGGAGCAGCAATCCAGCAAGTGACACACTGTCTTCCGGGGGGCAGTGGGAGGGATGCTGGAGGACTATGTCCTCTTCTGAGAAAAGGGAGGCATGTATATTCACTCTCCCAGGAGAAACTCTCCATGGAATAATATAAACCTGGTTGTTCCCAGGTTATTTTTCTCCTGGAGCAGCCATTTTCACTCTGGAAGAAAAAGCCTTAACATTTATACACTTGTGGTTTCTCTTGGTAGAGCAGCAACTGTCCCAGGAGAAACTGAATGTCTGTATGCAGCCTATGTCCAGTATTTTCTGAAAAAATGTACTAAAACTGACTCTTAGAATAAAGAAATACAATGGATTGTGTTTTTTTTTTAAAAACCAACCTTTATTACAATTCTGTAGTTTTAAGAAAATATTCAAAAGCTGTCAAAGTAGTATGAAAACAATGTTGCTGTATTCACAGTTACCTACTGTTCCCAATAAACAAAACGTACAAACATTTCCAGAAACACAAAGTCTTTACTGGTGACTTTAGTCAGATTTTTCTGGTTCTTGGTCTCCTTGCTAACAACAAAGATGTTGTCAACTGCCTGAGGAAAAATATATTTGCATCACTTCTGAAAACCTGAAGTTTGGAGGAAAAGGGATATTAAAAAGACAATATCCTTAAAAATTATCACCTGCACATGTAACTCAAGGCAAGCAAAATGTGTACCAGCACAATACTCAAAGCCAACAGCTATCAGGACAGCAGGGTAATATATGCATACTAATGAGCTATTCTTCATGACCTTGCTCCTACCCTCTTTAACACTGCAATCTAAGGAAGGCCAGCTGTTAAAAGTTCCAGTTTTTAGAAACAAGACAAGCTGAACTTGTTAAAACATATCTGATGTTTAAATACAGTGGATAATGTGAGTTGCACTACACTACAGATAAACTATATGAAAATGTAAAAGCACTTAACATTTAATAGGATTTCAAGAAGTGCGAGAGGTATGATTCAATGGCAACTATATACTATCAAACTTCCTCAAATATCACTGAAAGTCTCAGGCTTCAACATTTCTGCAGGTGACAACTGGCACACTCTTCTGACACCACAAATCTGAAGTAATTTATCATATGGTTTAACTCTGCTTTTCTAAGATCCCTGAAAAAAACAACAAATCACTTAGCTGGGTAATATTTAAGATCTCCTCCTTCTAACACTAGCAATTTTATGAAACACCAGAACTATTTTGAAACATTCATATTTCCTTGTTCCAGTAACAGGTAAAAAGCAAAGGGTCAGGCGTTATTAAAAGTGTACTTCTACTTTGTGTTCTACTTGTTTGCTTCACCAAAGCAAACAAGACTGCAAGACGCAGAGCTGAATAAGAGTTTGTTTTCTTCCTCCTCCCAGTTTGACTTGATCCTGGATTAATCAAAGTAATCTGGACAATTTTTTAATTGCCTGCAGGTAAGGAGGGTTTGTTCCTCTGTGTTTAGGGACTTTTTGATTTCTAAAATCAAATGTAAAGAAATAGTCAAAATGTTCATTCCATAGGAGGAAAATGTTACACACATGTTCCTAGGTCTGGAGCCTCAGGCTTGGGAAACATTTTTCTAGATTGTCTGCAAGAGTCTTATCTGCCTCACGCAACACTTCGTGAAAACTCTCCACCTGAAATAAAATACAAGTACATTCAAGTCCACTTATATACATAACCAGACAGAAGCACAATTCACTTAAATTGCATACCACTGCAACAAAGGTCCCAATATTTGCTTACCGCTAACATTCAAAATAGCATCTTTTCAATTATGTATTAAATGAATAAAACGCTTAAGTACACAGCATATTTCAGCCTTAGTGTCCAATATGCAATGTACCTGTACTTTATTTAAATACATAATTTGCACCAAAAACAGTGAAAGGGAAGCAACCATTAAAACACACCTATTAGAAGCTTTGAAAATGACCCCAGTAATTAAGATGGGTTATTTTGCACTTAATAAGCACTCCTTACCTCAAGTTCAGGTAAGTGCACACATGGCCTTTATTCATTTCTGAGTCTGTTGTTAACCAGGATACACTGTATAACCACCCTCAGATGGAACATACTGGATCAAATCAAAGACCAATCTAGTCCAGTATGCTATCAATGACTTGCCAATGCTATTTCAGAAGGACCTTGCCCTTATCACTATGGGACAACCTGTCCCTCAAAAGATAAGTTTCCTTTTAAACTCTGAAAATTAAAAAGTTGACCAATATAGGCAAAGCCCAAAGTTCAAGTGGTTCTCGCCTCAAGACTTTTTTTTTTTTTTTAATTGCTCATTAATGCACATAACAAGAACACTGAACTCCCTTTTTGAACCCTGCTAAAAGCTACTGACCTTAGTGAAACATTCTATTAATGGCTTCCACAGAACAATCAATGGAATGTACTCCTGTGTAATGTCCGTAAAGACTTAGACTTACATCAGAAAAAGTGGATATTTTAAGGTTTGAGGGGGAACAGGCCATTCACATTTTATTTTCTTTAAAAAAAAAAAAAATCACCTAATAAGCTGTGCATATTAAAAATATTCTATAAAAAACATAATGGAACAAATCTTCAGTTCATGTCAATTAGCAGAACTCCACTAACTTCAATAGAGTCCTGCCAATTTACATCAGCTGACAATCTAACCCAAGTTTAATCTGAAATGACCCAAAAGAAAAAGGGACAAATGTAGATCTGTTTTACACTGCATTAAGTACTGTATCATAGTTTCATAGTTTCTAGGGTCGGAAGCGACCTGAGAAGATCATCTAGTCCGACCCCCTGCCATGGCAGGAAAGAGTACTGGGGTTAAACGACCCCAGCAAGGTGTTCATCTAACCTCTTCTTAAAAACCCCCAGGGTAGGAGCCTGCACCACCTCCCTTGGAAGTTGGTTCCAGACCCTAGCCGCCCTGACCGTGAAATAGCGCCTTCTGATGTCTAACCTAAACCTACCCTCTGCTAGCTTGTGACCGTTGTTCCTGGTCACTCCTGGCTGTGCTCGGGGGAACAGTGACTCCCCCAATGCCTTCTGATCCCCCCTGACCAGTCTGTAAGAGGCCACAAGATCCCCCCTCAGCCTTCTCTTGTGGAGGCTGAACAGGTTCAGGTCCTGTAGTCTCTCTTCATAGGGCTGCCCTGCAGTCCCCTGATCATGCGAGTGGCCCTCCTCTGGACCCTCTCTATGCTGTCCACATCCCTGTGGATGACACATGACACATCATGTGTCAGAGAAATCCTGCCCTTCATCTACATCTTATTATAACTATTAGTCATGCATGTTAAAAGACCACGTATACTCACCGCCGTGAAATACAGAGGTAATAGATTTTTAAATGCACAGGAACATTTCTGTTCATTGAGATGCCCCTGGTTTAGTCCCTCTAATATATTTTCCTAGAACACAAAGAAAGTACACACAAAAAAATTAACTAATATTTCATAATAGTTGAACAAAAACTCACAATCATATACATAAAGCCACATGCAACACTGTGTTGCACAGCAGGTAAAACACGCTGAACAAGTAACAGAACTTGACGTCCAGAGGCAACAACGGAAACAAAACTGAATGCAAAGGGTAGGAAAGTGGTCTCACAGCCTGAATACTGTCACAGCTAAGTAACTCTTGGTCAAAAAAAATGTGGAAGTGACACTTTATATACAGGATAAGAAAACATACATCAAGAATGCTTTTCAGATGGCAATCAAGAACCGAATAGGAAAAGTCATTCCACAGAAGAGTGGTCTCCAAAGTGGGGTGCACAAAATCCATTGGGGTGCGGAAAGAAAATATTAGAACTTCTATTTAGATGTATATTTATATAAATATACATATATTGGGGGGTGTAAAAAATTTTTTACTGATAGGGGTGCACGAATATAAATATACATATATTGGGGGTGCGTGCTCAAATTTTTTTTTACTGATAGGGGTGCGTGATCAAAAAGTTTGGAGACCACTGTTATAAACCACAGGTGACAGGCCTGCAGGACAAGTGAGACAGGCAGCATCTATGTGTGGCACACAAGCTCTAGGCACACAGGAAAGGGAGGCACCAGAATAAGGTAGGGAGCAGAGTGAGGGCAGGATGCTGCTGAAAGAAGTGACAGGTATCACTGCCAAAAACTAAGTTAACCACTCCTGGCCCTGCAGCCACTCCTGAATTCAGGCTTTGAATCCTCACTATAAAAAAAACTGTGGTGGATGCAGGAACAGGGAAAGGTTACCCTCACTCATAAAACCTGACATACCTCCTCTTGCAGTAATGTCCTTCCCCTACCCCATTCTGCTACATGCAGCTGCAGCCATAGACTTGAGCCCAGCTCCTCTCACACATCTATTCTGGTTGGCCTGCCCCCTCAAGAGCAGCCCTGAAGGAGAGGGTGGGGCTTAACTTTTATCATACCGGTCGGTCTTAAAAGGCTGGCCACCCAGAGCTCTAGACACTCAGCTCTAGAAACAGACCAATAGCTGTGAAGGTCCCTATCCATGTGTCACAGGTTGCTGTTGCACCAATCAATTCCTTAATCAAGAGCTCATGCAACTAGGCCTCTAGTATGTAGTTCTCATTGTAAATGAACAGAGAAAAAACCGAACAAAGGAAAACTCCCCTTGAAAAATAAGGTTTTGTCTTCTCCTACTATATATAAATTCCTCCTAGAATGGCTCTTACCTTAGTCAATTCTTGAAGCATGTTAGAAAGTAATTCACAACAGATATCCTTCAAAATTTTCAAATGGAAGTCTTCCTGAGTTAGTCCTGACTTTTCAGTCTCATCTGGCTTGGATTCTTTTGAATTATCTAAAGACCTCTTTCCACAGTCCTCCATGTATTGTAAGACACGAATCAGGCTTCCAATCAGAGGCATATCTAATGTACAGAAGCAGGATATCAAAGTTTAACAGATTGAAAACACAGATTTTGAAACAAAGAATACAAGGGGTATGTATAATCAAACTGTTTCACGAAGTTATTTTATCAGCAGTCAGTGATTGTCAAGTAGAGGTTTGTAAACTGCTAAGCAGTAACACAGGAAGAAAGAGGATTATAAGCAGCTGGCATCTCACTCTATCAAACTGCACACTGTACTTACTTAAAATCCATAGCCTCAAGGCATGGGAAAGTACAACAGAGAACCTCCACAGCTGTAAAGTTACATCAAGAACAATTCTTCCCAAAAACCTCAGCTAGCAGAGCCAAAGCACCTGCACCAACCTTTTCCAGGGGAAACATGATCCCACTATTAGTCCAGCTTAGCTGCAAAGAGAGGGAAGGAAGGGATCATGGCCTCTTGTTTCCTCTCCCCCTCACCTTTACAAACTAGGACCTACTAGCAAAGGAAACCTGGACATCACTGAAAATGGCTTTCAATCTTTTTGTTTTAAGAAACAGGGGCTAATACAGTAAAAATTCTCCAAAGTAGTAAATCCAAAAATGTCACATAAACATACAAATGTTGGCCTACGTTTTGATCAGTAACACACTCAGTGATGAAACAAATGAAAGAAATAGAAATGTACAATTATCCACCTCTTAAAGTACCTGCAACAGAGGCCTCTGACATTAACAAAGACTACTCTGCATTCTCATTTTTTACATCTTAACCAGAGGAGAAAGACTGAATCGAAACCTCATGTTCCAAATCTTACGTGTGATGAGAAACTGACCAATAAGCTAGAACTGAATTGTGTATCATTTCTCTCTTTATATATAATCTCTTAACTTTGTAGCATCCAAAAATACCCATCTGAACGTTGTGTAATGTAAATAGTATAGGTGACACTTGCTTTTTCTCATCTTGACATATTCTTGTTCTGTTTGTGAAGCAAACATGGCTGACAACACAGACAAAATAGAGGCCAATACAGTCTTCTGTTCTTGAACAATGATTGGTGGATCATCTGGCTGGCAAAGTTCATGGCAGACCAGGTCATAAAGCAAACTCCAAGTCTCTTTTCCTCCATCAGGAGACTGCACTTGAGAAGAGAAAAAAATATTTAAGTAAAGGATTATTTTTCCTCCATTAAAGCATCTAGAATGACTTAATTTGCAATCCCTAAGGTCAGCCAAGACCTACCTTCTAACAAGCACCATCCACGTGGTATGCCTAGTTAGCAAAAACTGCTCTTAACAATCAGTCCACAGTTCTGGAACTCCCTCCCTTGAGACCCACCAGAGCCTGAGCCTAGACATTTTCTGGAAGCACTGGAAAGCCTTCCTATTTGGGCAGTTGCTTGTAGCTGTGTTGGTCTAAGGACATACGCAGACAAGGTTCTTTACGTAAATGTGGTATCTTTCATTAGACCAACTAAATAGTTGGAAAAATTCTCTCTCACAAGCTTTTGGGTACAAACACCCTTCCTTCAGGCACAGGGAGTCTATTTTGTCTGTTGCTAGCAGACTCTCCCTGTGCCTAAACAAGGGTGTTTGTACCCGAAACCTTCCAAAAAAGAATTTTTCCAACTATTCAGTTGGTCTAATAAAAAGGGATCACATTTACCCAAATAACCTTTTCTTCCTATTTGGGAAGACATTTAGCAGACACGGCTAGGCTGGGCTGGCATATCATTTAAGGCCGAGGTATCAAACTCACCTCATGTTCCAGGCTGGGTCTAGCCAAGAGCACAAGGCTCTGACTTAGAACATGAGGTAGTGGCAGGAGCAACAGCTGCAGCTCCAACCTAGAGCAAATGGCAGCAGCTCCACCCAGAGCTGGAACTGCCATCGCTGCATGCCTTCAGCTGGGCTCCAGCTCCAGCACAGGATACACAGTATGTTCGACACCTCTAATTTAAGGGGTTTCTGCTTAATTTTGTTACCTCCACTTGCTTTTTAAGTTGTTTTGTTCTCATGTTCATTCTCCTGTATTACAAGTTACTGTACTACAAATCATTTTGGGGGTTTTTTGTAAGCTATCTTGCACCTTTGCTGGGAAAAGCAGCACAGAAATCAAATAAACCAATTTCAGTGCAATTCAAGTGTCTTACCAATAGCCTGAATGCCTTCATCCACTGTGGTTAGAAGCTGCAAGATATGCATGTAAACATCCAGTCCTTCTGGGCTATCTGACCTACACCAAACAAAAACCAAAGACAATATTAATGACCTCCATATTAGGAAATAAGATCTAACAGAAGTTAATACTCCTAATAAGAATAAAATGCAATATTAATTTTAAAAATTACTGTTAATAAACCCTAGGATACAAGTGACATCCAACAAGTTCAACAGAAATTTTGTAATAACAAATAACTGCATGTTTATTCTACCAATGTCAGAACTAATCTTGCAAACTGTTATTCATACATAGTGCTCCCACTAAAGTCAGAACTGGGCTCTAAGAAGGTAATCAACAAAAAGTTCCTCTGTCTCCAGAGCTAAAAGAAAAAGGACACTTACCGAACTTGTTTTGCTGCTTCAAGTAAACAAGGCACAATCTTAAAATCTGGAAGTTCTTCTGGGGAATCATCTGTAGACTGACCCACTGACTGACAAGAGCAATTTTTAATCCAATTTAACATTAGATCTTCATCTAGATCAAAGAGCTTATCCACCACTTCACCCACTTTTACCAGCAATTCAACTGCACAAAAGAGACATATCAAATCAAATTTGACACTATAAATGATGAAAAGCTAGCATGCAAAACTCTTACCCATGGGACTACCTACAAAGCATGATTTGGATTATGGTGCTAGTATATTTTATTCATACATATTGATCCACTGTAGATTTACTGGGGTCTGGTCTTTGAAAGGGAAATATGTCTTTCGTGATAAAATGTATTTGAGGGGACTTAAGAGGTCTGAACTCTATTCCTTTCTCTGTGAACCTGGAAAAAGGAGTTAATATCCACCCGTTTTCTTGCCACATTAATAAAGCAGACCTATAGTACTTCCTTACTTTACAAGAGTGCTTTAAAATTTAGTTAATTTAAGAAGGCCAAATCCTGATACCAGGACAATCAATAACAGCATTATTTATTTCTAAATATTTATAGATTACCTAACTGTGCTACCCTTACTCATGCTAGGCAGTATATTTCCCCTTAAATTAATCCCACTGAAACCAGACATATAATTAGAACCTCAAACAGAAATGCAGAACAGTATTATTTATTAATAAACGGAAGTTAGGAACATTTTTATGAGTCCCAAAGCTGAAATGCTAGTATTTCTAGACAAATGCACACTGCAGTTTTGCACACTGCAGTGAACACAAAAGTATCATATTTACTGGATTCCAAGATGAAGTTCTCTCCCCCACATTTAATACGGGGAAAGGAGTCCCTCATCTTGGAACTGAGTATGAGGTGGGGGAAGGGGAGTGGGGGCAAACAGGCAGAGCCATAGCTGCTGCCTATCCCCATACCGCCTCTGCACCCTGCCATCTTCCCCTTGTAGCACCGCCCCCCCCCAGCCTCTGCTCTTCACCTGCCTCTCTCCCTGCCCCCTTACCCTTTTTCCAGTGCTGGCAGGCACTGCCCCCACTCTAGTCTAGGGCAGAGTTCAGGGAGAGATGGGGCAGGCGGGCACAAGCAAGGGGCAAGCTGCTTGACCTTCCCACATCACCTGCCCCTGCACTACCTGCCCCCCTGCAGAATCTAACAACTGGGGGGTTGTCTTACATTTAGGGCCATCCTAGATTCTGATACATGTAGCAAAATGTTTTCTAGTTCAAAAATGTTGAAGAAAACTAAGCTACATGCTTAAAACAGTGTAAGGGATACAAAAATAAGGAAGACAGCTGCTTAGTTGTCTTGTTTTTCTGAAGTTTATTTTTCACTATGTTGGGCTCAGCTAGAAGAGAGGCCTGATACATTTATGTAACAAAGCAAATACAAGATTAAACTAAGATTCAGAGTAACTGTATCATTCTACCAACTGCCCTGGTCTAATTATACTTATTTCAATAATGTAAAATCGACTTTAAAATCTTGCTTTACCACCAAAGGTATACATACCCTGCAAGAGCAGACTCAGTGTATACAGGTCTTCTCTTAACTCATGACATTTACATCATCAAAACTGTAGCCCCACTTCCGAGTCAAAACCATTCAAGTCTTTGCTATACTTCAACACAGTATTTTAACTAGTGATACAGTAACTCCTTGACAACTCACCACTTGTAGAGCTTGACATGATAAAACAAATACAGTCATATACAGAGGGGTTTTCCCGAATTCTTTCAACCCAGATATTGGCCACATCTGGTTGGGAGAGGCAAGTTAACAATAACCTAGAGAAGAATTATAGGTTCAGCAAATTAAGCACAAATGTAACACCAGTTGTTCTGGATTTATTGATAACAGATAAACATTCAGCCCTTGTTGAATGAAATCCAGGGACGCTGTAGAACTGAGAAGGTGAAATAAAAATACAAATGAGCCCACTCTCACAAGTTCTCTCTACAGCCATTATACATGACATACTCTTAATAGTCAATATTCTTTAAGATGACTTACCTGCTTGTTTCCAGTAGAGTAGGAGAATCTGAATCACATAAACGCTGCAGTAAAACTTGTCTGTAAACAGAAGTTGAAAAGCAAGCTTAATGAACCGTTTTTATTAAGAGAAAATAAATAGGCATGGGTTGGCAACCTATGCTGTGGCTTCAGAAGCATTCAGTGGTGAGGGACTCTGAGCCACTGCTCAGCTGGGCAGCAGGGGCTCCAGCAGCAGGGCTCCCATCGCACTGTGCTAGTTGGACAGAACTGGTTTTGGTGGAAGGGGTACTCTGCCTAACCCATGCCATCTGACTGCAGCACAGCATCTGGCAAAGGGATGCTTCTGTGGTGCTGTGACACCTGGGAAAAGTGGTAGTGGCTGGGTCCTAAGGCCCTGCCATCTCCAATGTCAACTGGGTCATTCCAGCTAATGCTGCAGACTCCTGTTCTAGGGTTATGTTCAAATTGTTTTTTTCATATGAGCAGCTTGATTAAAATAAAAGTTAGAACTTCCATTTGTTCAAGGGTTTATACTTGCAATTCCCAAAATATTCATAAACAAATGCATTCCTGAGCTTTTGTCAATGCAAATGGTAGTGCTTATGATCTGAGGGGAGACTCATGAGTAATGAACAGTTCCTTGCTTTACTATGCTGGCTGTTCTGTTTTGTTGCAATAATTTAAAAGACTTTCCAGAGAGTATAATCTCCAACACTGTTACAGTAGTAACTAACTCATCTGATGAAATGCTTGAACACAGGCTGGAAAAGTGCAGCAGATAAAAAAAAAGTTTTTCCTCCTCTTTATATAAATTAACATGAATTAAGAAAATAGAAAAGTAGTGGAGTTAACATAAAAGAAACTCAGTAAAATTATTTTTATATAAAAAAAATGAATAAAAAGAAATACGGCTACTGAGACTAGACTTTTATACTTAATCCAAAAGTTATTATTCAAAAAGCTTTCAACCAATACTTAATGCATGCTGGTGTTGTACACACACACCTACCCAAGATTCTCATCTTTACTAATAGACATGCAGATATCTTGGAAACAGGCCATATTACCCAATATTCCCACACAGATTTCCTGTGAAAACAAAGAAGAGCAGGGTTAAGCAAAAGCAGCACTACAGCTCGTAATTTCTCTTTCAACACCTTGGTATGAAGCGGGGGTTCTCAAACGTTTTGACATCGTGACCCCCTGCCGGCCAGCAACTTAAAAGTGGGTCCCAAACTTTTCTTCCCTCCCTAGAAGCTGTGGCGCAGGGAACAGGGCTGCTGCCACCATCCACCACTCTGTGTCGCCATGCGCCGCTTCCCCATGCCCAAGTCTAGCATGTTCAATACCCATTGATGGACACAAATGCCATGTTAGAACACATTTGCCTTCCCATATGAAAAAGAAAACTATTGCTTACAAAGATTTAAAAAATAAATACAACAGATATTATTTGGAACTTCAGACCAAAAGAACCTACAACTCTACAAAGGGAACAATGCAAGTATTAAAACATTTTGCAAGTGGCCAGCACTAGTAATGAATGCCATGGGCATTTCAAATTTTCAGTAAGGTAATTTGGATTCTAGCCTTAGCTAACAAAACAACACATTAAGGAGTCATCTTAACTAACATATTCATGTTTGTTACATTTAATGTAACAGTCACCGTATCAAATTGTTAGAGACAGAAGGGAATGTCATAGTTACCAGAGAATGTAAACCCAGTGTGTAAATAATTAATTATTATGCTTTCAAAAGTTTTCTGTCTATAGTAATATTTCCAATAACTTCAGTGAGAGCAGTTGAAAATCCTAGTCTTAATTTCTGAAGAGGGAAAAGCAGCCAAGCTAAAACTTCATTTTATTTATGATGCGTTTTAAGGACTAATCTTGCAACAGTGGTCATAGGCATAATCCTTACCAATTTTAAATCAGTGCCAAGATGAAGTTATCAAGTAAAACATGCCCTGTTTTTGGGCTTGAAGCAAAGCTATTCTCTTTCACTGACAATGGTACACATCCGCACCGAAGTCTCTGTAAGAGAACCCATGCTTCTTTATTTTTGACACCAGTGTACATAAATAACATTTTAAAATTGGATTTAGTGTATTTTAGAAGCCCCAACATTCATACAAAAATAGAACACAAAGGACAGAGACATTTTACATGCACCCACCCCAAACTACCTGCTACTGCTGGTAAATAAGCAAGGCTTTCCAATAACTTATACTTACAGTGAGTCTAGGACACTTTGACTTGGCAAACACTCCCATAAATATATCAGAGGCATTAAACTCTTGAAGAAATAAAGCAACATCCTGTAGGAGAAAACATTTTTATTCTTGATAAGTAAATATGACTGTTGCTCTTCTCTTTTAAAATACATTTTTTACACATTTTATCAAACTTTTCCCATGGAAATCAGGCTAAGTCAAGAAGTTGTCAGATTCACTGCAACAGTCAAACTGACTGCCAATTCTCGTTGGGCTGTCGAGAACAGTTAATAATAGAAGTAAATGTGTACACTGATGTGATGCCCACTTACTACAACATCCTTATCCATCTTTGTGGAATTTCCTTCATTGATTAACATCTTACACAAGTCATGAATATTCTGTTTGGTTCACTACTGATGTTTTCATTTTGCTTTGGGGCAAAAGCGCTAAGTAGTAAGAATTCAACCAATGCCATAACATTCAGGCAGATAAAAAGGTAATAAGGAAAGAGATTTTCTATTAGGACTTAATCAGAGAAGGCCAGAAAAGAAATCTTCTCTTCCTTTTTCCACCTCATTAAACCAGAAAATTAATTCCCTATTTGGAAGTAAAGGACTCGTCTTCCAAGTTGTTGATTTAGAAAAAGTCTAAACAAACAGAGAGCATTTTTTCTTTATTTAAGAATTTGCTAACATTTCAGTTCTTGGAAACTTAAGACATCACAAAATTTTTAAGAAGTGTCTCATTAGACTACACAGGCATGATTTATTCATCAACCATAATACAATTTAATAGCAACAAGCATGATCATTAACTATAGATTAGTATGGTATTAAAAAGGGTAGAGATGTAATTGCTAGAGATTAAAAAACTGAAATTGTAAACGACCATTATACAGTTCTAAGATACACAAAAGAATTAATTTCCGTATTAGTTGACATATGAACTCTAATAAGTCATATGAAAATACAGAGGCTTCCAATATGGTGTCATTTATCCCACAGAATTCTGAACCAATGAGCACCAGATGGCAGATCCTGTTCCATAAGTAGTCCAAGAGCCCTGTTCCTGACCTACATACACAGAGCTCTGTTCCCTACCTTCAAAAAACAACTTGGTACCAGCAACTAACATCAAACTGGAAACTCTTCCACATGATCTAGCGATTAGTTTAGAGTGCAGGAAAAATTCTTGCTATTTTAATCCTAGTCTTTAAAGTATACATGGTAACATCATTAATCTTTTTCATGCCAAATTACTACCTGCTTTAAGGTGTCAGGAGAAACTGTCAGCTAGAACGGAGAAAGAGCAATGACATCCAAATCGGATGGCTGACAGAGAATGCTTGATTCTGAATCCTCTACCCTAGAGATGTCAAAGATATGGTCCACAGAGCCATTCCATCTTGTCCACTGGGCTACTGGAAGTATTGAGGAGGTGCGCAGAGGACAGGGCCTGCTGCAAAATTTAGGGGGGCACAAGGGCTGTGCAGCAAAGGTCACAGCTGCCAGTAGTTCTGCAGATCCAGCTCGGGAGGAGCCCAACAGTCTGGAGCCAGCCAGATGCCCAGAGTGAGTTTGACACCCCTGTTCCACACTACAGGGCTACTGCTGCTCTAACTACAGCAGCAGTCACATTAGCAAACTCCCTGGGGCAGATGCAGCTCTGTTGCCAGAAGAGTAACAGCTCTCTGAACAACAAAAGCCTTCTTTTGCTAGCACAGCTGCCTCCACACTTGGTATTTCACTGGCACAGCTACATCCACTACAAGGTATGATTTTTTTCTATACGACATACAGTATGTTGGCAGAATTTTGCAATGTAAACAAGACCTAATATTACCAACCCTCTTTCAGAACCATTTAAATTAAGAACATTGAGCAAAAGGCCAAAATTGCCAAAAAATTCTTAACTAGACAGTTACTTTCAACATTTCACTAGATAAGACTGCTTCACATACCTCATCCATGGACATATCCCACACTTTACATATGTCATTCTCCATTTCTTCCTCTAGCTCTGTCTGTATCTCCTCTTTGCTCAAGTTCGAGTCACTCTTTTCAGGGCTAATAACCTATTAAGTACAGGAAAGAAAGTGAGGCTAGAATTACTGAGCTACAGCGAAAAAATGCAAGGAGTTAGAAAAAAAAAAAATCACAATTTCAGGTAGAGAAAAAAAAAAACAAGTGACTAAACATATTCTTCTCAAGCACTCACAAAACTCACAGAAGCATTCAGTACTTTTAAATCACTCCCTGCTTTGCCAGAAGAGGTTTGCTTTACAAGATCAGAAGGCTTGTCATCTCATCCTGCCTTGCTTTCCTCCGCTGAACAGGTTTAATAAGTGGGATTCCCTGCTGATCAGCTTCTCCTTGATGGGAGGTATTACCACAATGGTTCTCAACTTTTTTAGACTCAAGGCACCTCCTGAGCAAAACCAGCTCTTAGTTTTCACTGGTCAACTATGGAAAACTACTAGAGCAGCGAATTTCAACTGTTTTCACCTCAAGGTACCTCCCTTACCCCTTTTGTCAAAGTAGTGCTGCTCCATATCATGAGCCAACTGATTTGTCAGGGGGACTTAACTCCTTGACGAGGGGCTCCAGGGACACAACTGGAGCCTAACACTCCAGGTATGTCCAACTGGACAGCTGGCAGGGAATGCTTGATCCCAAATCCTCTAACCCAGGGATATCAGAGATACTGTCCACAGAGCCATCCCATCTACAGTTAAAGCCATGCCAGCTGTAGCTAAACTCCTGCTGAAGTTCAGCATCCCAGTGGGCTAGCCCCAATAACTCCCTACAGCCAGAACCTGAGCCCGCCCTTATGGGCCAATCATCCTCACCCTTCCTGGTGCACCCTTCACAGGACCCCATGGTCCCCAGAGGACACCCCCCACACACACACACACCCTTTCCCAGTTGGGAGCCACTGGGCTAGAGCCTGTCCTGGCTGCGTGCGGCCCCCACGTGGCAGCACCCTTCCCGGCTGGAATCCTCGGGACTTCCACTACCACTCTGGCCCCGCCCCCGTCACTGCTACACCAAGCCCCCGCGGGGAGGCAGGTCCCCCTCGGTCACTACCGGGTGCGCGCATGCGCATCTCGTACCGAACGCCCCGGCCTGAGGAAGCCCCCCACACGCACCTCGATGAGCTTGGTGAGGACGCTGAAGAGCCAGTGCTTGCTGTACACGGTGTCCCCCACGGCGTCGCCCGAGGCCTCCTCATCCTCCGCCTCGCTGGACGGCGGCGACGGGTTGCGGTCCATTTTCAGGCCGGGCCCCGCTGCGCACGCAACACGCGGCAGCAGAGAGCGAACAAGAGGTGCCGCCGAAGGCCCAGCCGCGCCGCACAGCGCCCCCTGCCGCCCACAGCCTGAGCCACCTCCCCACTCTTAGTGGAACTCCGCCCGCAGACGTCACTGCCGGATGTGCGGATTCGAGCCGAGGCAGGGTTCTGGCAGCCAGAGTCCAGGCCAGGTGTGCGCATGCGTAACTCACGCAGAGGCAAGTTCCCTGAGTGGCTGCCAAGTGCACACATGCGCACCCTGCACCGAACACGGTCACTGAGGCAGGTCCCCTCCCGCCCGAATCAGGGTCGGGTGTGCGCATGCGCACCTCTCACCGAAAGCGTCCTGGGGTCTCTTCCCTAATCGGAGTCAGGGCTGGGTGCACGCATGCGCGTGGCGCACCGGACACCCGCGCTAAGGAGGGTTCAAGGGCAGGGTACGCATGCGGACCTCGCACTAACCCCCCCCCCTCTACTGCAGCAGATGCCCCACCCCCAAGAATCTCACCGCGTTTTTGACAAGGCGCTTGTCCCTCACGTGCTAGTTCTTGGGATGCACACTGAGCTGCGTCTGGGATCAGGGTGCTTGGGTGGAGGCGGTAAGGACATGTACCCAGCACGGGGGGGGGGGAAGGGGAAGGGGGAGGGGTTTGCAGGGCTCCCCAAGATCTGTAGGGGGAAAAGAAAAAAAAGAGGGGAAAGG